CTAATCATCTCGTGCGTCTCGAGGAACCGAGGCGTTTTTAAGACGCTCTGGACCTTTTCCCCTGACCGGGGTCCTCCGGGCCGACTTTACTTCAATACCCTCGCTCATCTCCGGCTTCTCATTACAGCTCCTCGGACGTCGGTGGCCTCCGTGGCGGCAACAAGCATTTCACCCCGTTGACGGGGGGGCGACTCCGTTCCGCAGCTCGGCACGAGCTCCTCTGACCCACCACCCGGTGCCTTCCCGACTCACTTCCGCCCGCCCCGCAAGCGGACGGCGCGACGGGCTGGGGCTCCGTCGACTCCCCAGTTCCGGCCCGAGGCGGGCGCGCCGTGATGACGACATCAGGCCGGCGGCGGCGGCGGCGGCGGCGGCGGCTCGGAAACGGGAAGGGCTTCCGGAGCCGCCGGCCCGACCGCTGAGAGCTGCTGTCATGGCGGCCGCTCTCTGGAGCTGCTTCTCCGTCTTGCTCCTCCTGTTCCCAGGGGAGGTCCAGAGTTCCGAGGGGCCCGGAACTCCTGCCGAGGGATTGGGAGGAAGCGGGGCCGGGGCCGGAGACCGCTTCAAGATTGAGGGGCGTGCGGTGGTTCCCGGGGTGAAGCCCCAGGACTGGATCTCGGCGGCCCGAGTCCTCGTCGATGGCGAAGAGCACGTCGGCTTCCTGAAGTGAGCCTCCCGAGGGCGGCGGGAAGGCGGTTGGCATGGAAGCCGGAGGGCGACCCCCGCGAGGAGAGCCAGGTGTCAGGAGCGGACGAGGTCGCTGTCGCGGGTGGGGCGGGCGCCGCTAGCGGTTTCTGCCCGCTGACCTGGGGACGGGACGGCGCCCCCTCCCGCCGCCTCCCCCGGGCAGGAGGGCGGCGGGTGCTCGCCCGCGGGCCCGCGGGGGCGTTATTTTAAACCACCTCGGGGGTCCTTCCGGGGAGCGGCTGCTCCTGGGCGAGCGGACAGGTGGACCGCCTCGTTGCATCTTTCCCTGTCTGTTCCATCTCGTTTCCTAGGCTGGCCAACTATTTTTACATTCAGTTGAATCTTTGGGTAGCGTGTGTTGTGTATAGAGATGCTAAACAAGTGGGAATGCTCAAAACCCAAGGGGCCCCCAGTGATGACATCGACTGGGAAGCCAGTGCTGCTTCTAAAATTAATGGGCCCTGAAGTCCCTAATGAAAGCACCGTGCTTTTTTTTTTTTTTGGCTGAGGGTGGGATTGTTCTTTTTCACGCCCGAATTCATTGAGGGATTTACCACATCACGCTTGGCATGTCTGCGAGCCTGGGTTGCGCTACCATGCGCACCGTGCGTGTCCTTTTCAGCCGTTATTAGAAATGAAGTGTTGGCTATTTTAAAAAGATGGGATGCCTTGATTAGCATTCACGGTTTGCAGCGGTCTGCTTCTCAGACGTTGAGGCACAAGTTGGAAGCTTCCATTCCCTCCATTGCTGCTTGCACAGTGAAACTGAAAGCTGTAAGAATATTTAGGAGAAGGGAGTTTTGCTTGGCTAGGCCTGTCGGAAAACCAGGCAACTTAAACGTGGACATTTCACTCGATCTGCTGCTCTGCTGCAAATTTGTTGAGGGCAACCAGAGGCCCTTCAATGAGAATCTCAATTTTGATTAATGAATAATGACAAGTTTACAACCTTTATGTTAATTGTGTCTGTCATTAATGATCTAGCATTAGGGCAATTTTTAGGTTAATCTCTAATTAATGGCTCTTTAATAATAGAGCCCTTTTTATGTTTTGGGAAATGAGCTTTAGTTGTTAGTTTGGCCTCTTGTGTAATACACAATTCTCTTAAAAAATTATTGTTTTCAATTTAAAAGAAGTATGTAATAGTATGTGGGGCTTCAAAGAGTTTATGGAGAAAAAAATGAAAATATAGTGGAATTTTTCTGTGACTTTTTTGATGCCCTCTTATGTTTCTTTAGAGTCCCTTGGTGGTGCAAATGGTTAATGTGCTTAACTGATAACTGAAAGGTTGGAGGTCTGAGCCCACCCAGAGGTGTCTCAGAAGAAAGGCCTGGTGATCTATTTCTGAAAAATCAGCCATTGAAAATCATATAATGCACAGTTCTCTGACACACGAGTTGGAATTGACAGAAACTAGTGGTAGTGTGTTCATTGAAGAAATTGTAAACAAGAACACAGATAACAATCTTTACTGTCATGCCTATTTTTGTCTTTTAAAATCGTATGTACATGAATTTTAGGCATTGTAAATTACTTTTTTATTATATATAACTGCATTTTATGCATTATATATTACTGTGTATACAGTATATAAAAACCAAATTCACTGCAGTCGAGTTGATTCTGACTCTTGGTGACCATGTAGGCAGGGTAGAACTGTCCCTGTGGGTTTCTGAGACTGTAACTGTTTATGGGGGTAGAAAGTCCCATCTTCCTCCCGTGGAGCTGCTGCTGGTTTTGAATGTGGATCTTGTGGATCACAGCCCACCACATAACCGCTACGCCACCAGGGCTCCTTCTGCATGATCTATTACCATGTAAAATTGTATGGACATACATTTTTGTGCATTCTATAGGAGTATGCACCTTTGTCACTTCATATTTTGTGAACCGTTTCTGAGACTATCCCATGTTCTTTTTGCATGAAGGAAGATTGATTTAAAATCGGGTGTTTATGGCGGCAGTCTTGTTGGGAAAGGCAGAGGGGGTTTGTTTTTTACTTTCTCCTCCTGCAGCTGGTTTGGAATAAATAACACACTTTTTACTTCTGTTTATTGGAGGTGACTTGGGAAATTGGCTAATGGATGAGTTGCAGCTAAGGTCTCCCCGTACCGTTTATTGTGATCACCACTGTGTACATGAAGCATCAATGTCCTCACTGGCCTTCTGTTGCTGGAAACATTTAGGCTGTTTTTGTTGTTGTGTGCTGTCAAGGCTATTCTGACTCATAGTGACCCTGTATGACTGATAAGTAGATTAATTGAACCGCCTGATAAGTAGTTTTCAGGCTTAAAAAAAACCCAAACTAATATAATGAACTAACTTTTTGGTGAGCTTTTTATTATACAGAATTTCAGAAATACACTAAACAAAATAGCAGCGAACCTTTAGGCACCAATGACAATATTCTGTTTTGTTTTTTGTCTGAGCTTCCCCTCTTTGTGTGTGATATTTAAATATCACCCTAAGCATCATATAATTTCACTGATACTGTGGCTGGGTGCTGGGCTGCTAACCACAAAGCCACCATGAGAGGACGAGGAGGCTCTTTGCCCTTGTGAAGAGAGGCACAGACGGAGACGCCCTGCACAGGCTCACTACGAGTGGGAACCGACATGACAGCCGTGCATTGGGGTTTTGGCTTCTAACAGATAAGGGCTCCAAAAAATAACCACAGTACCATTATCAAGCCAACAAAATAAATAAGACTATCATCTAACACCCAGTCCATTGTCATGTTTCCACATTTATCTCAAAGCTTTTATATAGGTTTTTATTATGAACTTCATGAATCTATCGTAAAATATTTATCTTGGAATGAAAAATGCATTTACTTTTTTTTTTAAGGTATTTTTTCTGCTATTCTTGGTATTACATAATCATCAGTTTGATTATGTTCCTTTCTGGACCTAGAAACGTGTTTTGAAATTGCTTCAGTTAGAGCCCTGGAAAGAAGCAGATGGCATCCTTGAGTTGGAAGAATTCCGAGGAGTTTAATAAAAGGACCACACAGGATAGTCAGGGTGTGGGGCAGCCAGATTGTATACAGGACGGGAAGCTCACAGCCTCAGGATTATTATCACCTCTAAGCCTGGATCAACCCAGGAATAAGTGAACCTAATTTTTGTATTTCAGTCGTTTTTGTTTGAAGTCATCTAGAACTCCTTTTCCTCTTTTCAGTAAATATTGTGGAGGTAATTAGTATCAATTACACCTTTCACTGTGGAAGAACTTAATGATTTAAGTAATATTTTAATATTAAACTGAGAATTATTTAATAACGTTGAGTCTTTTTAAAACAAACTTCATAAAAAAACAACAAACTTCATTTTCCCTTAGAATATAGTAGTTTCTCAGTTTCAAAACAAATTAATTTGATCTGTTAATATTTTCAAATGAAGGGAAGAAATGAAAAACTTAGAATAAAATGAAATTACTAGCTCTCACTGGCTTAAAAGGTTTTGAAGAGTTAAGAAAGGGAAAAGTGGACAGTTTAAAAATTATGTGAACATTTTAAACTTCTATGTGTATAAAAAGAAGTAACCAAGGTAGATGGGAATTATTGTAGCAAGCAAAACAAGATATTCAGCAAAAATGAAACCCACCTGGTTTATCCAATTCCTACACTGGGACTTCATAAAATTTGTGGAAAGTTTGCATTATATTTCAGTTCCGCTTTTCCATGAACTTTTGGAAGCCCCCCCTCGTAGTGACCCTGCAAGACAAAGAAGAGCTATTTTGTAGGATTTCTATGACTGTAAATCTTCATGGGAGCAGATAGCCTCATCATTCTCCGTTGGAGGAGCTGGTAGACTTGAACCATTGATCTTGTGGTTAGCAGCACAGTGCTTGACCCACTGTGTCACTCGGGCTTCTTGTTCTCTGTGGTTGCTGCAAGCCGAGCACTCACTCACTAGGGATTTTTAAAAGGTAATTTTCAATGATAAAAAATGGGGGGAATCAGTAAATTGGAAATGTACCTATTAATTGACGTAATAGAAACTCTTTTTTAATGTGATAATAATGCATATTGCTAGTTTTCCTTCATAGGGAGTGAGGACATGTTTCAAAATACAAACCACACCCTTGTCACCTGCCTTCTCCTGCAGAAGGACCAGGAATACTTTGTGTGTAAGGGTTCTCTGCTGCTCTGGACAGACTTATTTATGTTAAATATGGAAGATAAAGTGTGAGGCAGTTTTTTCTAGTTTCATTTACTGTTATTTTTTAATGGAGTTGAGTTGGAAATTAACAAAAGTGTGATTTAAAACATAAGTAAAGAATCACCTATTGATCAGAAGTGACTAAATAGGGTTTTCATTTTTCCAGGACAGATGGGAGTTTTGTGGTTCATGACATACCTTCTGGATCTTATGTCGTGGAAGTTATATCTCCAGCTTACAGGTTTGACCCCGTCAGAGTGGATATAACTTCAAAAGGAAAAATGAGGTGAGGGTGCTTGATTTAATTTTCACCAAAGGGTAGAAAAGTTTGTCATTTAAACCATAAGTTCAGGTTTCAAGGTTCACAGAGTATCTCAGGACAGTAGTTGGGGAGTCCTCTAGTCTCAAGCAGTTCAGTAAATCTGTTTGGTTTTTTTGAAAGAAATTTGAGGATCTGTTTCATATTTTTCTCCTATCCTGTGAGGGTCATGTATGGTGACCTTAATCAGAACTCTTGCCGGTGGTCTGATATTGCGTTAGAAGAGACTGATTTGTGTAGATGGTTAGTCCTGTTGACTAGTTTCTTCTTTGAGTGTTTGCTTTCTCCCTTTCTCTTGCTTTGGACTAGTAGCGACCAGTAGATGTATCTTGGATACTGACACTCTTAGGACCCAGATAGTATTCAACAAACTAGGATGTAGAACAGGGATCCTCAAACTTTTTAAACAGGGGGCCAGTTCACTGTCCCTCAGACCCGTTGGAGGGCCGGACTATAGTTAAAAAATAAACTATGAACAAATTCCTATGCACACTGCACATAGCTTATTTTGAAGTAAAAAAACAAACGGGACAAAAACACCCCATGGGCCTGATTGTAAAACACAAACTTTTTGGTTAAGGTGTCCAATGAGATTAGAATGTAGATAATCTGAAAAAAACAAACAAAAGAAAAGCAAAAAGGATGTCTACAATAAATACAGGCATTGTGATATAAAACTTTAATAATGTATGTTAACCAAGTGAAGAGAATTGACTAAGTGGAATCAGATGATCAGAAAAATAACCACCCAGAATACAACACAGATAAAGAATAGATGGTGAGAATTAGAATCTAAGAGGTGGAGAAAAGGATGAGAGGGTCTAGCCTGTGTCATATAACCCTATAGGAAAAGATGGAGAAATAGGGAAGACATTTTTCGAAATGTAATGTGTGAACATTGCTAAGAGTTTATAAAATTAGTTTCCTGTCTGCAGAAACTGTAGTGTTGTTGATGGCAGAATTGCAAGATTTGAAAACTAGGTGCATCCAATAATACATATCTTGGACCATCAAAAAATCCAACATGTTTTATATGTTTATAATAAAGTGAATTATTGTTAAATATAGTCTCAGTACTTTGCAGCTAAAAGGATTCTAAGAGAATTTTTAATATAACCAGAGAAGTTGAAGGAATTTGCCTAACCTCACAGGCCTAGGTAATGAATTAAAGTTAAAAGACTAGGTCTCTTGATTCCAAGGTAAGGAACTTTTTCTATACCTTGTTGAGTATGGTAGACATTCAGATAAAGTTCATTTGATGGGATTTTCAAGATTGAAAGTTGCTATCTAAATATCTGCAGTAGAGATAATATTTATAAGGCATCTTCAGAGCAGTCAACCCTGGGAGATTAGAAGGGCAGCCAAAGGGAGGCAGGCAGGGCTGGGAAAGGAGGGTGGAGGGAAACAGTGAACACCGGAGTGGGAGGCAGAGCGCTTTTACAGTGTGGGGATTGCAAGCAGTGCCACAAAATAACGTGTGTAATTATCGGATGGAAAACCAATTTGCTCTGTAAACTTATCTGAATCTCGCTCTCTCTCTCTGATACCATTAAAAAATTTCCATTTTAATTCCATTTTGTTGTGAACTTTTCGAAGTCCCCTAGTATGCGCGCGCGTGTGTATTTTGCATCTCTAATATTTTAATAATTTAAAAATTAAATGATACTTTTTCATGTTGCTTTACTAGAGCAAGATATGTGAATTACATCAAAACCTCAGAAGTGGTCAGACTACCCTATCCTCTCCAAATGAAATCTTCAGGTCCACCTTCTTACTTTATTAAAAGGGAATCATGGGGCTGGACAGACTTTCTGATGAACCCAATGGTATGTATTAGACTAAAATGAAACCTCTTTACTAATGCCTAATTGTTTCCAGGCAACTGGAGATTCCTACTCCCTATGAGATGAAACTGCGCTCCGGTGGTTGGTGAGAGGGTCTTTGTGTACAGTTTACGGAGAGGTAGAAAGTCATCGTGACTGGGGGTTTTATACTGGGAGTTGCATGTAGATTTGGCACTGAAGAAGTCTGATGTCACTTCTGTAACCAGCCCACATTGGTAACACAAGGAAGAGTCTCCCTTTTTAGCATGTGCAGTGAATCGAGAAGTTATTTTGTGGTAATTTTACTATAGTGAAACCTCCGTTGTCTAACTCCATTCCAAATTTGTGTGTGAACTTCAAAACATTTGAAAGCTGAGCATGTTTTTCCCATACGATATAATAGAAAACCAGATAATTGGTTCTGAGGCCTGAAAAATACACTTATAAATTCATTTTTCCAGGACTGTGCATCACGATGGAAGCTTTTAGCCGTCTCACATTTCACTGCCTCTGCTAGCACCGTGGAGGAGTTTCTGATTTATCAAAGTTAACAGTCACTATTCACCCTCTTCAGTGGTATGAGCTCTTTGTGTCGTGGGTTAACGGTGTCATACCTTTTGCTACATTAGCTGCTTTAATCACATTCCCACCCACCCCAAAATGTTGATAATGCCTACTTAGCAATGTGGTATTCACCTGCTCAATCAGACAAGCGGCCACCTGATTCAAACTTGGCAACGATTTCTTTCTTTAACATGGTTCTCACAATATTCCTCTTAGCCTTACTGCTGGGATCACTGACTTTCTTTGGAGCCATGGTTAAGATATTTTATGCAAATAAAGCGCCCTCACAGAAGCACCGTGATGGGCATTTCCAGGCACTGACGTAAACCCTTTGTGCTGTCTGAACATGAGCAGTGCTAGACTGAAGCATCCCCCTTTGTGTCTGGCGAGTCCCAATACAGGTTTTTTCAAGTCAGATTTTCCTGAGGAATATCGAGGAAAGTTGTGAACAGATTTTTTCGACTTTGCTGTTTGAGAAGTGGAACGTTTGATCTCGGAGCCATTCCCCAACTGAGCTATCACTGTGCTTGGCATCATCATCGAAACTGCTATATTAACCACTAAAAAGAAAATACGGAAAAAATATCCTTTTAGAAAGAAATTGCCTCCTTTTCTTTTGGGGGTGTGCGCTATTTTTGAAAGGCAGCTTGTTGTCTTACAGTGGCGGCAACAGTGGGCTCGAGCATCGGCGCAGGGCCAAACAGTGCTTCGTTGTGTTCTGCACAGTCGCCAACAACAAGTTATTACTGTCTTGGGAATCTCTAAGATTTCCTTATTCCTTGCCGGTAGTTACTTAGATCGGAATCAGGAATTTTTGTGTATCAGTTGACTGTACATCTTCTAGAGAGGAATAAATTAGAATCTGCTATAAAATAAAGAAGCAAGAGGGTAGATTTGACTGGAGAAATGAACAGTGACACGCTGAAGCTTATTGGGAAATAGCTTTCATGCTCTTGCCTCTGAAATCCCACAGAAGTATTTCAGCATCAAGAGGATTCTAGGTCATCTTTGAAAACTGATCTGCTGAAGTTGTTGCCTGCTATTGTGTAGGCTCCGAGGATGTGCACGAGAGGAAAGCCACCTCTTGTATACTTCTTAGGACATCTGGATAGGAATCCTACCTGTAGCAGTTTCTCTGTAACTTGGGCACAGTCTCTTTGTTCCTCTGTTTCCTCATCTATAGAGGTATATTATGTATCTCAGGATAGTTGAGGGTATGAAATGGGTTAATGCATGGTGTACAGACAGGGCTTTTCACAGCTTAAACATGATAAAAATATCTCACACATATTTATGTCCATACATAAAGATCAGAAGAATGCAGAAGATAAAAAATTGGGCTTTAATATGAGAGCAGAAAGAAAACCAACTATATGTGGCCCAGAAGCTTCTGGAAGTTTCTACACAATGTCAAGGATCTAAAACTGTTGTTGTGCAGCGCATCTTGCTATGTTGGGATTGCTTACACTGTTTTCTCCAAGAACCACACACTCATCTGGAAAGAGCAGCCCAGCCAGTCATCGGGACCACCAATCCCAAGCCAGCCTGCAGATTGAAGACAGCATGCAGTTAGCTCTGTTTGCCAACCAAATATTTGTGTTAAATATAACTGCTCAACCAACCTAACTCATTGCCATCAAGCATATTCCAACCCATGACACCTCTATAAGGAAGCAGAGTTGCCCGGCAGGTTTTCCCAGGTGTCACAGACTGTCACGTCTTTCTCCTGTGGAGCACGATGAGTTGGAACACTGACTTCACTTAGCAGCTGAATGCTCTAATGTCACCAGGGCGCCTTGAATTAAAACTGCAAACTGCATGGTGATCAGTGGTGCCAGTATGAAGGACGGTGTTTATATAAGAGTCCAGACACGAGTAGAAAGGCTCTTAAACTCTTGGACAAGCACATGTTGAGCACCTTGTTATCAACAGAGCTGATTTAGGAGGATTGACTTGGTTGCTGCGAGTTTTATTCTCTGTACAACATTTGAGTCTTTAACTTCACCATTGGTTGTTAAGTGCAGTTTTTATTCTGACTGCTAAGTGGGGGAACATTTTCTGAATTGATTTTTCTTGCACAGGTTTTGATGATGGTTCTCCCATTATTGATATTTGTGCTTCTCCCCAAAGTGGTCAACACAAGTGATCCTGAAATGAGACGGGTAAGATGATTTTCTGCCAGTACAATATTTGAACCATATCCTGATACCTGGGCCTAGGTTGTGACTAGATGACTTTTCAGTTTTATCCTAATTCCCAAGCCAAAATGACCTAGAGATTGTATGAATACCTTACAGTGTTCTTGGCCTTTCCATTGGGCCAAGGAATTTAGTTGAGTCTACCTGAGTCTTTTCATATAGCTAAGACATTCAATCTAGTCCTAGTTTCTTTGTGGGTTACCTATTAAATAGTTGAAATGCATAATAATCTTGGTATGCCTAATCCAAATATTTATAAAATGATAGATCCTGTAATCTGTTTTTACATAACTCTTGAGGGAACACATTCAGTTTTATGTGGTCAGTCACTTAAAAGAAATTCAGACCGATCAAAGGGAGAAAAAGAGAACATTGGTTTTATAAGGGGAGAGAAGTTGCTAGGCACATGCTTCCAATTAAGTGCCACCATTCTGTCTCCGGTAAATATGGCTTCCATATAAGATCTCTGTGGGGTTTTGAAAAACCATTGTTCATTCTTCCATTCAACACCCATCAACAATGATCTTCTGAGTCCCAGGTTCTTCCTTTGTATTTACTATGTTGATATGTTAACATCTTAGCCACTCAATAAGCATTTATTAATCAAGTTGTAGGTTCTGGATTCTGGGGATACAAGAATAAATTAAATGACATCCTTGTCATTAACAAGCCCATAGTCCAGTTTCATGTAAGAAAAGAATAGACTTATAAAACACACTGTTTGCCGCCAGGGTATTTTCTTCTTTTTTTAAAATGGGAAAATACACATCATTCTCCACTATTAGCCAGTCGGTTCTGATTCATAGTGATCCTGTATGGGACTTCCAAGGGTATTAAAAAAGATTTTTTTTAAAGATATACTCAAACCCAAATTTATGTATAAAACAAACCAAATTCACTGGAAAGGAGTTGCTTCCAACTCACAGTGACCCTTCGGGACAGGGTAGAACTGCTCATAAGGGTTTCTGAGACCATAACTTTTTTTTTTTAGATCATTTTATTGGGGGCTCTTACAACTCTTGTTACAATCCATACATCAGTTGTATCCAACATATTGGTACATATAGACCATCGTTCTTTTCTAGACATTTACTTTCCATTGAACCCTTGGGATCAGCTCATCCCCCCCACCCCCCCAATCCACTCCCCACCCCACACCCCGCCGCCGCTTCCAACCCTCATGGCCCCTTGATAGATCATAGATTGTTAATTATTTTCAAATCTCACACCAACCTCTGTATCCCTTCCCCTCTGGTTTCTGTTGTTCTTTCCCCTGGATGGGGGTGTGTGGTTATGTGCCATTCACTGCGATCGGTACTCACCCCCCCCCACCACTTCCCCCAACCCTTTTGGTATCACTATTCTGGGTTCCATGTGTCGTGAGTTTTAACTCTTGCCTATGCCTATGTACATGCTCCCGTCTGGTCCAGAGTGGGAAGCGGCACTGGGGTCATGATAGTGGGGGGTGAGGAGGCCTCAAGGGATCAGAGGTATATTGTGTGATCCATCGGTGCTCTACTACAAACTGATTGACTCATCCTCTCCCTGCGACCCCTCTGTGGGGAGATGTTCCATTGGCCACAGATGGGCTTTGGGTCTCTGCTCCAATCCCAGCCCCTCCATTCTCACCAGTGCATTTGTTTGTTTGTTTATTGTTTGTTGTGAATCTTCTGATGCCTGTTGCCCGGTCTTGATGACACCTCATGATCGCACCAGCTGGTGTGCTTCTTCCGTGTGGGCTTGTTACTTCACTCTTGGATGGCCGCTTGTTTAACTTCCAGCCTTTAAGACCCCAGACACTGTATCTTTTAATAGCCGGGCACTATCCTCTGTCTTCACCACATCTGCTTATGCACCCATTTTGTCTTCAGCGATCATGGTCTGTGTGTGGGGGGTGAGCATCACATAATGCCAGTTTGTTAGAACAGTGTTCTTGTATTGAGGGAAGGTATGAGCCGAGGCCCAAGGCCCGTCTGAGCCTCAGTGTATTGCCTTATAAATATATGCACATAGGTCAATACCTTTATTTTATGAATTAATGTATTTACGTAAGTGCACACCTCTGTTCATCTCCCTGTCTATACCCTTGCTTCCTAGAGCTTTCCTCTGTTTCCTTTTGCCTCCTCCTGCTCTGCCTTCATTTTCCCCTTCTTCCACCTCTTAGTGCTTCCTCTCCACTAGCTTGGTGTTGCTCAAATAGTCACAGGATCTCTACCCTCTCCTAGCTGTTGGTTTCGACTCCCTAGTTGTTCCCTACACCCTACTCCCCGCCTCCTCCTTCCCCCTAGACCTTCTGGGGCCATTGACCCCATTACCTTCTCCCCGAGCTTCCCTCCCATGTCTGTCCCATATAAGTAGGCAAACCAGCAATGTCCTATTCCAAACAATAAGAAAACATACGGTTGAGTAAAAGGAGAGAAGAAAAAAAAAATCCTACATAGACCCAGGTCTGTTTGCTGACCCCCATGAGTCCCTCCCCCTTGGTCCTGGGGGAGATCTGGGAGCTGCCCCTCCTAGCCCGCAGTCCATTCTTGGGGCTCTTCAGGAGCTCTGTGGATTGACTCTACTCCAATTGCTGATCTGTTAGGCCCCATTCCCGCACTGTTTCCCCACTCTGTGTCCCTATTATTGTCCCCTGTCACCGTATGCTCCAGTTAGGGGACAGCATGTCTTGAGTTGTTGGCAGTCCCACAGTCCTCTCTGTGCCCCAGCAGCCCCATGCAGGGACCTCATCCCCCGGGCTTGGTGTGCCCATATGGAGTCTAGGCCGACTGCCCCTTTCTCTTTTTCCTTCTTGGTTTGCTTCTGTCTGGCCATGGTAAGTCAGTTTCTGTCCCCCACCTGAAGGTCTAGTATTGTTCTCTGCAGCACACACTTCCAGGGTGGGGGTCAGGCTAGCTCTGGTTAGGGCCGGCCCTGTAGTTCAGTCTTTTCCTCTGTGGGTTACGTTGCCCTCCTGGTTTGGCATACCATGGTGGGATCTGTATGCACGCTCCAATTCTGTGGAGACACAACCAGTACTCTTCCTTGAGTGGGTTAGTGCCCTGTTCCCTCCATGTCATCACCTCAGTTTCTTCCCACCCCCATTCTCCGTCTTCCTTCCCCCTTTCCCCATCAGTATGTTGGATTCACATGTACCTCCCTGGGTTTGGTCTGACCTCCACCCGACTGCCTGTGCCTCCACGGGTATAAATTTTTATGGAAGCAGATTGCTTAATTTCTCTCCCGTGGAGTGGCTGGTGGGTTTGAACCATAGACCTTGTGTTTTGCAATCCACTGCTTTCCTGACAGCTCCACCAAGGCTCTTTAATGGGAACGTAGATTATTTCAAAACCCAACTCACTGCTATCCAGCCAATGCTGACTCATAACGACCCCTCTGTGGGTTTCCAAGGCTCTTTAACTGATTACAGGGCTTGAAAGCCCACTCTTTCTCCTACAGAGTTGCTGGTGTTTTTGAACTGTTTGTCCAACTTATAAGTACTACGCCACCAGGTCTCCTGGAGAGAGAAAGAGAGAGAGTAAATACAGCAAACAGTAGATGTTTGATAAGGTAGTAGGTTATTTAGTTCTATAGAAGGTAAGGTGTCTTTTCCAAGCTGGAATAATGAAGAAACCTTCATGTAGAGAAAATCTTTCTTTGCAGAGAAAAAACTTTATGATGTTTCAAAATGCTTTATTGCTCAATGTTGGCATTTTTGCTTCAGGGTTGGTCAGAAAATATCTTATACAATCAATATTACGGAGTGAAATCACTTTAACTTTCGGTGACAGCAATAGAAGGAAACATCAGAAGTTACATTGGATTAAACGTACATTCTTTATAAAATGCATTGACTTAGAAAAGACCAACCTGGTGTCATCAAGTTCCTTGTAACTCATAACGATCCTATAGGACAGAGTGGAACTGTCCCTTAGGGTTTTCAAGACTGAATCTTTAGGGGAACAGAAAGCTTCAGCTTTCTTCCATGGAGTGGCTAGTGCATTTGAACAACCAACCTGTGGTTAGTAGGTCAACACTTAACCCAGTGCACCACCAGGCTACTTTTGACATTGTAAGCACTAGAAAAAGTTGTTGATTTAATGAACCATATTAAAAAATACAGTAGTTGATACTTGTTAGCCATATACATTTAACTCTTGACATGTAGGGCATACTGACACATTTATATTTAGAGTGCCCCTTTCCTACCTTGTTTCCTCAAGAAAACATTTGTGTAAATCCTACCTTTGCAGAGAAAACACAAGCCAATACCCTAATATTGTTCAGTTTAAAACTATAGCTAGGGGAACCTATCGCAACGATCGACACATAACCATACACGCCCCCCTTCCAGGGGGGTGAACATCAGAAACCGTGAAAGAAGTGAGACAATGGTTGGTGTAAGATACGAAAATAATAATAATTTATAATTTATTAAGGGGGAGGAGGGAGGAAAGAAAGAGGAGCTGATACCAAGGGCTCAGCAGAAAGTAAATGTCTAGAAAATGATGAAGGCAACATATGTGCAAATATGCCTGACACAACTGATGTATGGATTGTTATAAGAGCTGTAAGAGCCCCCGATAAAAGTATCTTTTATTTTTTTAAAAATAGCTGATATATTTTGTTTTCTTTCTTTCTTTTTCCCCCCCCCCAAATGTGTGCCTTTATTATACACAGCACAGCATGAGGGGATCAAGCAAAGGATGAGAACACCGGGGCACTCAATTTTGTTTTCTTTCATAGCTGAACTACTATTAATTTTTAGTTCACTTTTGAAAAGATGACATCAATTTTAAGTGAAACAAACAACACATTAATATAGTGGAAGCCGAACAACACTTTACATTTTGTTGGCTCAGTAAGGTGAAGGTGCGTAATCAAAAATGCCAGATCTTTATCCTCTCCTGCCAGTGACTTGTAACACATACTGCTTGCTTTTGATGATGTAGCTGAGGTCACTCGAGCACACTGTGTCCCTGAAATTAGGGCACAACTCTTGGAACAAAGACTGTTAACGTCCAAACTTTTTTGATACCTTGATATATAAGACTGATCTTCTGGTGGTTGTATGTAGCTAAAGAAAACATGACCTTCAAACAAGCACCACAGTTAAAGCCATGAAAGACTGTAATAATAATAATAAAATAATAATAAGATGTTAGGACTACGCGAAGATATATGCCTTATCGAGAAAATGCTCTTTATAAAATCATAAGCTGATTCAAAGCCCACACAACATTTACTGGACACATACGATGGACCAAAATGTTTAGTGATCCAAGGAAGTATAGAATAAGGTAATGATGAGGGCAATGAATGTACAAATTCGTTTTACACAATTGCTGTATGTATGGATTGTGATAAGAGTTGTATGAGCCCTTAATAAAATGATTTAAAATACATATATAAGGTTACTACAGATTACAAGGATCTACATATAACCTCTTCCCTGGGGACAGACAGCAGAGAAGTGGGTGAAGGGGGACGTCAGACAATGTAAGATATGACAAAATAATAATTTATAAATTATTAAGGGTTCATGGGGGAGGGGAGAGCAGAGAGGGAGGGAAAAAATGAGCTGATACCAGGGGCTCAAGCAGAAAGCAAATGTTTTGAGAATGATGAGGGAAACAAATGTACAAAAGTGCTTGACACAATGGATGTATGTGTGGATTGTGATTAAGAGTTGTATGAGCCCCAATAAAATGATTTAATAAAAAAAAGTAAGGTTACTAATGCTATGTGGTTAAAATAGTGTTTGGTTTGACGTTCATCATTGCTCCTTCCTCCAGTCGAGGGAGTGCTCGAGGTTAAAATGATCTGCAGGGTCCTGGTGCTTTTCCTTTCAGTGCGTTTTGTTTCCCTGTAGGAGATGGAGCAGTCAATGAATATGCTGAATTCCAACCACGAATTGCCTGATGTTTCTGAATTCATGACAAGGCTCTTCTCTTCAAAGTCATCTGGCAAGTCTAGCAGTGGCAGCAGTAAAGCAGGCAAAAGTGGAGCTGGCAAAAGGAGGTAGTCGGGCCGTCCAGAGCTGGCGTTTGCACAAACCCGGCAACTTTGGGTGGCGTCCAAGTTGAGGGGAAACCGTGTGAAGCAACTGCTGTAAACTTGACTCAGCCTGAAAGTTGATCTCCTGAAACTGTGTGTGTGATAACTTTTGGAGCGCACGTTTTGTACTAGGCACACAAGAAAATCCAGCTTTCAGCCTGTGTCTGTAGAGGTCAATATGGATGTCACTGAATTAATTACAGTGTCTATAGGAAATGACATTAATAAATTATATGAAGTACTATATGTATATTAAAGTGAAGTCTTAATCCAGAGCAAAAATGACCTTGTCCTTCCCCTCTCATGCTTTTGCGTCTCTTTCCTTCTTCCCCTCGTAGTTAGTTGCCTTCAGTCCTTCGTTAACTGAGGCTTGAATTGACCTTTCCTGTTTAAAACGAATTGGTTTAATGAAAACAGTTGTTATTCATAGAGCAGCGTTCACCATAGATTTTTTTGGTCGCCAGATCCTTCAAAATCCTTAGCTCTGCACTTTCATTTAACATTTCCTAATATTTGAGGTAGAATCACATGTTCTTAATGTAGTTTTAATTTTTATTCAGTAAGCTTGAGATAAATCACAATACATGCTGTCAATCTTTATCATTCTAGTTTTCATGTATGGCACCCATTTTACAAATGATTGAGTATCATCTATGTCTTGAGTTCCAAGGTGGGATATAAAGATGAATACTATCCAGGACCTGCCCTCAGTGGAGCTTACCATCTAGGGAGCAAAATAATAACCGGAAGTGGGTGGCCCGAAGGGAGAAGTGCAGAGGAGTGGGGCTGGGAATGGAAAGCCGACCTCTCGTTGGGAGTATTGGCAGTATAGTGCAAGTAGCCTTGAAATGTCCTTGCGTTTGCATCATTGATTCCCAGTGTTGTTGGCATACAAATGACTACTTTTCAGTCAAGGGTATCTCAAAAGTGTTTAATAGGGTCCAAAAAAAATTATGCTTTTTCCTTTCGGGTTGTTTTAATTAAAGAGTAATTCCAGCATGGCCTGAAAACAGGCCACTGTGTTACTGCTAGTCAGTGGCTCCTGTCCTCTTAGATATTAGCGGATTTCTCCATTACTTTCCTCAGGTCATTAAACCAGAAAACAAGCAACACACACACAAGCTACCACCACCAACAAAAAAAGTTGTGTCTAAACTTTGTTCTCCCATTTGTATTAGATGAAATTATTTATTTTGAAATTAGGCAAAACACATGTTCTTTTAAAGAAATGAGTTCTGATGTAGGGTGATTTATTAACTATAACTATCATATATACTAATGTTAGCAAACTGGTAAAGATGGGTAAGCTGATAGGATTTTTTTTAATTGCTTTATTGGGGGCTCGAGCAACTCTTGTCACAATCCATACATCCATCCATTGTGTCAAGCACATTTGTCATTTGTACATTTGTTGCCATCATCATTCTCAAAACTTTTTTTCTACTTGAGCCCTTGGTATCAGATCCTTATTTTTTCCCCTCCCTCCCTTTCCCACCCTCCTTCCCTCATGAATCCTTGATAATTTATAAATTATTATTATTTTGTCATGTCTTACACTGTCCGATGTCTCCCTTCACCCACTTTTCCGTTGTCTGTCCCCCAGGGGAGTGGGTTCTATGTAGATCATGATGCTCGGTTCCCCTTTTCCCCCTATCTTCTCCTTACCCTGCTGGTATCTCTGCTCTCATTATTGGTCCTGAGGGTTTATCTGTTCTGGGTTCCATGTGTTTCCAGCTCTGATCTGTACCAGTGTACATGCTCTGGTCTAGCTGGATTTGTAAGGTAGAATTGGGATCATGATAGTGGTGGGGGAAGGAACATTAAAAAACTAGAGGAATGGTGCTGTACTGCACCTAACTGGCTCATCTTCTCCCTGCGACCCTTCAGTAAGGGGATGTCCAGTTGCCTGCAGATGAGCTTTGGGTCTCTACTCCGTATTCCCCCCTCATTCATAGTGATAAATGATATTTTGTTCTTAGATGTCTGATACCTGATCCTATTGACGCCTGTGATCACAGATGCTGGTGTGCTTCTTCCATGTGGGCTTTGTTGTTTCTGAGGTAGATGGCTGCTTGTTTATCTTCAAGCCTTTAAGACCCCAGACGCAGTATCTTTTGATAGCCAGGCACCATCACTTTTCTTCACCACATTTGCTTATGTACCCCCTTCGTCTTCAGCGATCTTGTTGGGAAGGTGAGCATCATGGAATGCCAGTTTAATAGAACAAGTGTTCTTGCATTGAGGGAGTACTTGAGTAGAGGCCCAATGTCCATCTTCTACCTTAGTACTAAACCTATAAATATATGCACATAGATCTATTTCCCCCTCATCATATATACATATATTTACATATGTACATGCCTGTAGTTAGACCTCTATAAATGCCCTTTGCCTCGTAGTTCTTTCCTCTATTTCCTTTTACTTTCCTCTTGTCCCACTATCATGTTCAGCCTTCATTTAGGTTTCAGTAATTCCTCTTAGTTACGTTGCCCTTGATCAAGCCCTACCTGGCCTCCTATACCTTCCTTGCCATCGATGTTGGATCACTTGTTCCCTTGTTCCTGGGTTTGTTAATACCCAAGAAGTAGGATTTTTAAAATGGTTTGTTAAGAACAACCAAAATCTTAGAACATTAATTGACTAATATTTGCAATTCAAAGGAGACAATATTGTGAGAGTCATAGTTCTATGTCTAAAAATCATGTTAGGTTTTTTATTAATTTAGATGATTAAATTATAAACATACAATACCTCATCAAGAAATTCAACTGTACTCTAGGAAATTTCCATTTCACATGGTAATTAAGCATATAGTTATTTTCTATGGATTCTAGCATTATCTGGATATAATACATACTACAGAAATGTTATATCAATTGCACATCTTTATGTTCAATTGTATATGAACTTCACCAAGTGCCTAGGGAACTTACTAGTGCAACAGTAATACATTATTAGGCAATATGGGGGTCAGTAGAAGAGCCCCTTTTAGCTGCTGACTTGCTTTGTGACTTTGGGAGTCACTTTTCCTTTTATGTTATTCATTGTGTACCAGCAATGAGCACTTAGACATGCAATAAATGTTTGTTGAATAAGAGGGTCCAGTTTATGCATCTGTAACTTGAAGGTTTGAGATGGCACCTGTAAATTCCTTTCCAGATTGAAAATTTTACTGTACTTTTAACCCCGTCCTATTCTTCCTACCCTTTCACGATTAATGCCAACGTCCCCACTTTTCTTCTTCGTGCTCTTTTTGTTCCCCGGTAGGAGGAAGGGTGGCATTTCATTCTCCATGAGGGCCTTTCTGAAATTCTTTTTACATGTATTTCCTTTCAAGTATAAGCTGTTGTGTTTCATTATTTTCACATCCATGAAGTTAAACCTGAGTACTGGCAAGTAACAGCAAGGTCGGCAGTTCTAACACACCAGCAGCTCTGAGGAGAAAATACAGCTCCGTAAAGATGCATAGTCTCAGGAACCCTATGTAGGTCCCCTATGTAGGTCTCTATGAGCCAGACTTGACTTGATGGCAGTGGTTTGGTGCTTGGTTTACCGACTGCAAAATAGATCTTCACTGCCCCTTCTTGCCAAGAAGCCGTGTTGACTTCCCCAGACCGGATCTCTAGCTCCAAAGTGTTTTCTAGCACTTCTTGACGAGTGGAAACCTCAAGCACTTCATCTGGGCCTGGCTAATAGTTTGAAAAGATTCAGGATTTTTCCTAACCTGCCTGTGGTAAGGTTTGTAATGTTTTTCCCTTTTGTTTCCTCTGACAGGTAGAAAGCAGCAGCCAGACAGCAAGTACTCCCTACGTTTCCCTAGTGGGCAGGGCTCCGCGGCTGGGGAGGAATTGTCAGTGAGGTAGCAAGAGAGCCTTGCCTTTTAGGTAGTCATCCAGACGTCCAAGATGTGCTGTAAAAAAGAAAAATCTATTACTGAACCTAAAGAAAAATTTGAAACAACTTTCATTTTTGTTCATTGTCTTCCAGGTCACATAGCCATTTATGGACATGGTTACATCACGTATGTGCCATTTGAATTTAAATAAGAAACTGCCAAACACAAAGCTTGGGCAACACAATAGAAACTAGTGGTGAGCCCTTTAATTCAAATGTGCTTGACACAATGGATGAATGTGTGGATTGTGATAAGAGATGTAAGAACCCCAATAAAAGTATTTAATAAAAATAATAAATAAACTCACTTTGAAAAAAGAAGAAATGGGAAAGATTTAAAAAAATTAAAGAATAATTTGATACAGGCCCTGATTGCACGGTGTTCTTTTAGCATTTTAGGTGTGATTGTAGATATCAAGTTCGAGCTATTCTTCATTAGTAATATTTAAGAATATCCATGTGGGAAAGATGTTTGTGTTGATCAAAAGGACCTGAAGGAGGCTTTGGCAAGATACAGATGTTGCCTATAAATCATGGGTATTGTTTCTAGTATTAAAAAATATATTAAAAGACTCATTTTAGAAAAAATATATGTCTTACATCTTTGTCAGTACTTAACTTTTTAAATCATCTTCTACAGAGCGTCCAGATGCTACCAATGTTTGGCTAATATCCTCCTTGGCCTTGCTCTGTGCCTGCGCTCATTCTTCGAGCATTTCATTTTATCAGGTTGCTTATTTATTTCCCTGACTTCCTTCTGTGGATTCTAAGCTCCTTAGACTATCAGACACTAGTAATAAAAGGGGCTTGTCCTCAGAGAGGGGTTGGAGAAACCATAGTTTGTCTTCCACAACAGACTGGGGGTGGCTGCCACACACAGGTGGCTTCATCATGTGTTGTTGGGCTCCCAACTCTGAAGCCATTAGTTGAGGATAGCAATCAGAGACCCTTGGTGAATTAAGCTTCTCCTTGAAGAACCACAAAGATACCAAACAAACTTGGGGATCAGGGTGGGAACACCACACAGAAATGGAACCTTACCTTGTACACATACTCATTTTGTAAAGAATGCACCGTGAAGCCGCTATGCTGCATGTTATGGATTGAATGTGTCTCTGTAAGATACATGGTGGAAACTTAACCCTGATACATGTGGATGCAACCTATTTGGCAATAAGGTCTTCTTTTTGTGTTGACAAGGCCATTTTCCTTGTCAGGTGTGTTGTAAACCTAACCACTTCTGAGTGATAAGGAGCAACATAGCCCTAGACAAAAGCAAGCACAAGTGAGAGAAGATGATGCCATGCTGGGTGTAGATCGCCAAGGAGCCCGGAAGGTTGGTATACCACCCC